TACTACTACTACTACTCTCTCTCTCTCTCTCTCTCTCTCTCTCTCTCTCTCTCTCTCTCTCTCTCTCTCTCTCTCTCTCTCTCTCTCTCTCTTCCCGGTATAAAAAACATTCTCGTTCAAAAATAACAAGATCGGTTTATAGAATCCGTTCGATCGAGAAAATTGTTTATCGTACGTTGTCGTTCTTCGATAACAATTAGAGGTTTCGATCTTTGCCCGTACATCCTGTTTGATGACTGAAGAGAAAAAATTTTGTTTACCGTGTCTATTTAAAAATAAATACGAGCAATCACAGATAATTCACTTTTTTTTTTTTTTTACTATCCACATAGAATGGAGGAGAAATGAAACGAACGAAGCTAGTATCCGATGAAAACGTGATGATTCTAGACACAGGTATCCTCGTAGCGTGCGCCACGTTTACCTCTAATATCAATCCGTGCAGAGCACTCGAGGATGATTACGGATGGAACCAAGTGGGTCAAAGCCTAACTGGGTCGCAATTTCACCGAGCACTGTATTATTAGACATACTTGTCGATGTGTGCTCATCGACAAAATAAATTTTGGAGGATCGTCGAAATGTGTTATTTGTTACCGAGTATTATTATCTTTATCACGGCAAGATTGAAAGTTGGTAACAACGGGTATGGAAAAAGCTGGGCGACTGTGGATATAGTGCTTATTGTTAGCTATTCCGGACGGGGAGACGTTGATGCTGATAGCGTGAGACTTTGTTCATCGTTTCATCGTCACAGAGAAACTCCTGTGTCACGGTTGTTATACGCTCATGCCACTTTTACAAAAAGTTTCGTTCAACGTCACACCGCCGCGTAATTCACTCGAATAAGTTAAATATTGGTGAAAAATATACACGCGCGACCAACCGGAGCTCTTTGTAAAATTGGGTCGTCGCTGACAGGAGTTCGATCCCAAAATTCGATTTTTATCGCCTTTGCGCTTTTAAGCCCAGTCGATTGACGCTTTACACAGGCATTTTCATCGTTTAGTTCGTCTTTACTGCTCTTTTTTCTCTCTCTCTTTTTTTTTTCGTGACGCGTATCGTGTAATTTATATAAGTTCCACTTTTTCCCCTAGTTTTTTTTTACTAAGAATTTAATATCCAATAATTTGTGTCACTTAGGAATAAGTAATAAATTTTTTCCTTCTCTATTTTATAAAAAAAATGGTGGAAATTGTATTTAATATCGCGCATAAACGTACAATTTGCACTTGTTTAATTAAAATGTTGAAAACGTTTTGCGTCAGATTTATAAGGTGGTTTGCAAAGTTAGGTTAAGTCGCGTTGGTTGGTCGCGTCTAATTAGCTCGTTGCCTGAATCGGTCGTTTCGTTTCTGGAAATTGCACTTCATCGAATTGTTTCGACAACGACGAGCGATGAAACACTCGTTAATTCCCATCTCGATATGCAAAGAAAGAAAAGAAAAAAAAAAAAAAACGAATAAAAGTGAATGGCTTTACGAACACCGTTTTGGCATTTACTTGGATGTACGAAATCCAATCTTCTTTCACGCCTGTGTGGAAATATGTTTTCGTTTCCATTTTAAATTTTTCCACATTCGCTCGAGAATTTCACACACGTGTTGCCGAGAGAGGGCATGGTTTGGGTATGGTCGTCACAAGAATCTCATTACATCGCTTAATTGCGTTCCATGGAAACCTTTTTCGCCCGCGAATGCACTTTTACACCGTCCATTCTTCCTTTGAGATCTCGTTCTTTCGATCGATCCCTAGAAATTCCATTATTTTTACTTTACCCCCATCCATGTTTACTTCATCCATTCTTCCTCTTCTCTTTCCACTGTTAAAAGTCTCTCTTAAATCGGATAACGAAACGGTTTTTGTACACGGTGTAAGAGAATAACTCTTTCAGGTAATATAACACAAGTTGCGTATATACTTGTTATACACCTTAACGTATCTAATTAATAGAATTAATTAAGAACTTTGCATCGTATTATACTCTCCTACCTTTCTGCCACCCAACCCTTTACAATTATTTTTTTTTTCTTAGATGGCCTTTTTTTACCTATATATACATAAATGCACACACACATACACACACACACACACACATATATATACAGTCGATTATTTGCTCGCGAGTGGCTAACGAGAGTGGAAAAGAATATTTTCGCGTCAAAGGAGAAGGTTAAAAGGGAAATATATATATATTGGAAAGGACGAGAGAGGAGAGAGGATACGAAGATGGACGTGTATAAAGCATTGAATAAACGACCTTCTTGAAGTTACGTCTCTCGTGGGTGAGTTAGGAACGTAATCGACCGAGAAAGAGAAAATATAGACGGAGAAGGGCCGGCGTTGGAAAGGAGCGGCAAGGAGTGGCAAGCTCGTTCATCACTAGGTGACGCCCCCTAAATGTTTCCTTTGTGGGTTTTAAAAGTTTTAGCGATGGCCGTGCCCCCGCAAGTATTTCATCGATTGTTTTATAGCTGTAGCCGGGACCTGTGGTATTTGTCTCTTTTATCATCCGGACTATCTCATCCACTCCTCTCTTTCTCTCTCTCTCTCTCTCTTTCTCTTCGTTCGTTTACTCGGACGGAGAAAAAAGAAAGAAAGAAAACAAAAATACGAATCGTAGCTGGAATTACGGGTATTTGTCGAATTCTATTTCTCTTTTGTTATTCTATACGCAATGTTGCTCTTCGAGCAAGCTTTTCATCATTTCATATCATTTTTCAGAGGTCATTTTACACGGTGTTTACACGGCAGAGAGAACACGTTGAGAACAACACGGCCGTGTTTATTTGCGAAAAACGCAACGAGATGGCGCAGATGTGTTTATGCGTGGACAATCGAAGAGTGTGCAATCTTTTTCGCCGAGGTTAGGTTAAGCAGGTCCATGATCTGTCGTTTGCAATTCAAGGAAGGAAAAAATAAGAGAGCGTAACAAAGCCTCTTTTCCAGCTCTCCCTGTCGCGTTCAACGGCCGTTGAATAAGGCAATATCCCCAGGCTTGGTGCCCGTTTTGCACGAACAAGAGCCTATGTTATTACATAGGAAAATTGCTGGACCCGCGATTTTTTTTCTCTTCTTCCATCTCCCCTCTTCTTCTTCTTCTTTTTTTTTTTTTCGGTGTTTAGAAAAGCTCATTTTCAAACGGCAACTCTTTTATCCCTCTGAAAAACCCCATAGTTTTCTATAAGAATTTCTTTGCCGCGATTTTTCCATCCCTTCCCCCTCCATTCTCCCAGATAACACGTTCCTCGTTTTAATTACTGCTTCTTGTTTATCGCATCCTCGAACGTGAATGTTTAATCTCAACGATCTGACGATTTTTCTTTTCAACACCGATCTTATCTTTGATACCGTTATAT